GCGGGGGTCAGACTGTTTACTGCCGAGGCAGCCTCGCCTGCGTCCGTGTGGTAAGGAGACGATGCGGGTTATTTGACCACAGTCCGCGCGCTCCCGCTGCTGTCCTGGCCGCGAACACAGGACGGGCTCACACCGCGAGCCGAGCCGGGACGACGCCCACTGTGCGCGGGGTCCCCCACCTGCGTGCTGCACCGGGAGCGGATCTGCTGGGGCTGCAGGCGACCCCGTCCGCTGCAGTCGGTGTGGGATCTGCGTGTCTGCGCTCCTAGTCTGCCACGGTGGCTGTCCCCGCCCCCGGGGTCCCTGCTGCCTGCACTTCCCGGGTGCTGCGGGCCAGCACGACTGAGGAAATGGCCATTCGCCAGCCTCACCCAGCAAAATAGGAGTTTTTGAGGTCAGGGCTGTCTTTTAATCCCTGTTCCTGCATTGGGTGCCCTGTATGTTTGTGGAACAAATGAATGAACCAGCAGCCCAGTGTGGGGTCCGGACAGGGGAGGAGCAGGGGGGGGTATAGTTTTTCCTGTAATGAGGGGAATACAGATTTCATACATTTTCGATCCATGTCAGCCATGATTCCTACTCCATTGTTCATTTCTGCCCAAAATGTCCTCTCTCTTTTTATAGACTCCCATTTATCTGGGTCAGGATCCAAGAGATTTATGGCTAACTTCAGCTTCTCAGTCTTGAGCCCAAACTTTAGTGGCAAATTCTATTCACAATTAAAATAGACATCACCATTCCTGACCTTTTACCAGATACACACTAGGCCTTTCTACCTTTACTACGAGTGCTTAAATCAGCAACTGATTGGTTTAAATCATATAAAACATGTAATACGCTGTATGTGTATTTGGGCGTTTGCACTCGGAACTGTGACACGTAAGCGGTCCTCGTGGGAACTGAAATGATCGCCATTACAATGAAATTAATGAAAGACACAAGTAACTTCTATGATCAGAGCAGCCCGCACAGGCAGCGAGCCCTGGCTATTTCCCGAAGGCATCACTTTATATTCATTGATGCTCATAATACATAATTGCGATACTAAGACTTAAGAGGCAAGCAAAGTATCGTGTAATGTGATAAAAATATCATACGCAAATACACGTGCACATTATAACATGAAACTATGACATGAAATTGTCAATTATTTAAGGGCATTTGCCATTCAGCCACAGCAGGAGCCGAGACACCGGTCAACTTAACCCTGGCAGTTCTGAACTGAGCAATAGCCCGGGCGAAGAGCTCTCAGGGTCCACGGGCTTTATTCTGAAAAGAAGGCGGTAAACATTCTCCCTGAACTTGAAAACACTTTATTGCGAACCAGGGTTCTCAGCGTCCCTGGGCAGTCACACTGATTGGCCCAGGAACGTATCAAGGTAGCAGTAATTACTAATAACGTGCAAACTCCACAAGGTCACTGCAGGGAAATTATGACATATATGTGTATATTGACAGAGTCGCCATCTCCCGCGTGCATTTCCGCGTGCCCTGTCGCGTGCGAGGCTACGCTTTTCAGGTGCGGCCTGTGGGAGGGGCTCTGTGAGGCGGGCACATCCTTGACCGGGGGACGGCCACAGATCCACAGACCCTGCAGGCGAGTGAGTCTTGGTGGATAGAGCCCTCTCGGGCCCTCCAAGAGGAAGGTCGGCCTCCACATAGAAACTTCCAGAAGGAAACTAGAGCACGTGGGGCTACTCCCCAAGCCGCTATCCGAAGGGAGAGGGGCACCTGCCCAGAAGGTGAAGGCCACGTGCTTGTATCTCTGTTAGGAGAGCCCGAGTCCGTTACCGTGAATGTGGCTGGAACGCTTGTAGGGGCAGAGCGAGCCCGCGTGTGCACGGAAAACACCAACACGCATCAAAACATCATCACCGTTGAACCACCGCGTGTGGAGCGGGAACGAGCGAAGGCGGGGCCGACCTGGTCACGTGCAACCAGGGACACACATCACAGAGTGCGCCCAGGTCTCACGTCCTCCTCGGCGGAAACCTGGCCAACGCAATCAGGGCAGAGGCCGCGTCTGAGAAGCAGCAGCAACCTGAACTTCAGAAGCCGACTTCAAGCGTGTGATTAGGTCATTGTTATAATTACGGGGTTTCATGATCTCTTGGAGTCCGGTTCAGCCCTGGCCACGCTCTCTCCTGGCTTGTGGAGGGAAAGGGCTTCTTTTCCCACACCTTGATGACATTCCTGGGCACACGGGGCCCGCTGGGAGGGAAGCGGGCCAAACACAACTGTTGCCCCCACTGTGGGAACAATGAACCCTCAGAATGGCCCCTGGGATCCCTGCTTCTCCCAGAAGACTCATTCCGGAGCCGGAATTTGTGGGAGGGGACGGCCCCCAGCCTCCGCAGCCCCTCAGACTGCTGAGTCCCACGTTGGTCCTTCCAAAACGGGACCTTGAAAAAGAATCAGGAGGGAGCCCATTGTGTCTATGCACACTGCGTTTGGAGCTCATTCACCGTGTGAGGGACAAACCGTCCCCAGCTACCTTCCGTCGGAACCGGACCCGGCTGTAGTATGAAACCATGTGATTGAATTCCATGAATTTCTGTCGTCTTTGAACTGAGAGAGAAAATATTTGGGGGTCGAGGAGAGGGACCCTTCTTGGGTGACCCTGAAATCAGACGCTGCAAAAGCAAACACAGATCCCACCGAGGCAGAGAACCGGCTTCTGTCTACGTCCTTTGGTCTCGGCTTTTGGAACCTCAACGATTAATTTCGAAAGCCTCTGCCCCGCCTTCGTTTGGAATTACTGGAGATTTACCATGCGCAGCCTGTGTGCTCATGTGTCCTGGGTGAAAACATGGTTTCGTCAACTTTTTTTACTATCCACACGGCCTTGCCTCCGGCCATACTCGGAACAGTAAAAACACACTGCCCTGTCGTGGATCAAAGAGTCGCGCACACGACAGAAACTTCACACTGCCTCGCGCAGCGATTTTCAGATTTAGAGGCGAGTTGTTCAGACATGCAAGGCACTCCGTTTTTATCAACTAGGACTGAACGGCGGCTGTAGACTCCTGTGTGATTCTACGTGGATGAAGCCACTTGGTGGCTGACCGTCCCCCTCAACCACCCCCCCCTTTTTTTTTTTAAATAAGTTGTTATTAACTTACAATCAGAACAGTTTTTAATTATTCTAAATCAGTGCCCGGGCACAACTTTTTATACTGGTGATAGGTTTTGTTTTATCATTAAAGCCTTCAGTTCCCCGGGGGTGAGGCCCCACCCGATTCCGCCCGAGGCTTGCATCCAGTGGACCAGAACTGACTTGATGTGAAAATGTCCAGTGTCCCGGGACCGGGGAGCTACATTTGCCGCTTTGCCAACTGCGTACGGAAAGGCAGTGGGGTTTTTTTTCCCCCACCGAAAAGCCTTTGAGACATCGCATCTACGTCTGAAGGCCACACTTCTTAGCATGGCATTCAAGGCCTTCGTATGAGTCTTCAGCCGCTGTTCAGCCCAACGCCACTCCCCGCCCAGACTTCCCAGCCCCGCCTGGCAGGGTCAGGAGCCGGGTGTCCGACCCAAGCCCTAGCTGTGGCCTCAGGGCATCCCGACTTGGTGGCCCTGAGCCCCGCCTTCTCTTCTCGCCTGCCCTCCCTTTCTCCCCTCCTCTGGGGCCCACACCCTCCACGCCTACCTTGGGGAAAACTGTTCCCTCTGCATCCAGCCGTCTGTGTGCCAGGAGATCCGTGCTCTGCCCCGAAGCCTTAGCGTCCGTCCATCAGGTCTCGGAGAGCACGGGCTGCTCGGTGTGTTCCGGGGGGGAGCGCCCCCACTCACTATGGGGTGCCGTTGAGCTCTCCCTCTGCCCACGTGTCACAGGATGTGCTCCCGCCTTGCGCACAAAAGCGTGTCGTCAAGCGATACAACCCAGGTGGGCGGGATGCTCGTCCTCCTAAGTCCACCAGGTCTGAGCGCGGTGGCCCCGCTGGTCAGAGCGCACCTGGCCCCCTGAGCCGTCGGGGAGGGGTGTGTCCCGGGACAGAGGCACACGCTGGGGCCCTCTCCAGCTCCCGGGGTGACTTCCGTACGCTCGTCCCCGAGCCCGGCCCTGCTTCCAAGTGGGTGTGCGGTCAGCCTTCGGCAGCCGCAGAGCCCCGTCGATGGGGCAGAACTGGAAGCTTCCTTACTGGTCCCTCCGTGATGCGAGCCTGCTCTCCTCACAAAGGGGGGCACACATCACCGCAGGGCCTGAGGGATATGGACCTGGGGCTCCTTTGCACGTCCCCCCCCTCCTCCGGAGGACTGTCTTCTTTCTGTGGGGACCACACTCAGCTCAGAGCCCAGTGGCCCCATCAGCCACACACCTGAGGACACAGAGAGGCCCAGGGCAGCTGACAGACGGACGAGAAGAGGCAGGCGGGCTCCTCTGGGGGCCGTCCTGGGACCTTCTTGTACTTCACCCATGTGGGACCTCAAAATAGACCATTTCCACATAAGAACAGTTGAGTTTCCAAAATGAATCGTTATTGTTTCTTTATATATATATATATATATATATATATATATATATATGGAGGTTTATTCATTGTGAGAGAGAAACAGAGACAGAGCATGAGCAGGGGAGGGGCAGAGAGAGAGAGGGAGACACAGAATCTGAAACAGAATCTGTCAACACAGAGCCTGACGCGGGGCTCGAACTCACGAGCCGTGAGATCATGACCTGAACTGAAGTCGACGCCCAACCGACTGAGCCCCCCCGGCGCCCCTGAATCTTTATCGTTTCTGTAAGTCAAGTTTACACCTGAGACCTCAGTTGGCCCCGTCCTTCCCTGGCTGTGTGCTGCCTCCACACCCTCGTTCTGTCCCCCAGGCCCAGAGCACCACACCTGTGGACTTTGGGACACACCCCGGGCAGAATCCGCCCTGCATTTGTATATGAGGTGCCTCCCCATAGGATCTTTGAACTCAGCTCCCTCAGGCTTCAGCATCTTATTACTCTGTTGATGAATGTTTAATGTTTGCACGCCAACTATTTAATTACAGACACTGTTATACCCTTTCAGGACCAATAAATTGCCTCACATGATATATAAAACTGCACAGCACAACAGAGCCCTGGCTAAGCTGTCCCAGGGGAAGGGAAACACTGCGGATTTCCTAATTAGCAAACCAAGAACAAAAGCAATTCATCGTACGTGGCCCAGAAGGCATTTTTCTTTCTGGGTTTGATGTGTTCATTCGTTGTTAATTATTTATCGTTACCCGGCAGCCGTACATGCTGGGAAGTGGTGTAGAAACCAAGAGTCATTGAGTCTTTCCCCCCGACCGTCTTCCCGAGCACCAGATGAAGGTGGGTTTGGTGATGATTGTGAGTCAGGGGCAGAGACAGGGCTGGCCATCCAGACACAAGGAAGGATATCTGGGCCGAAATCGTCTACGCATCCTGAATTTGTTGAATAGTGTACGATTTTCCCCTTCGATTAGAGACATTTGGGTGAGTTTCCCAGCTGTCTGCTCTCTGGGGATGGTGGCACACAATCACCTCTCACAAAAGAGACTCTAAGGGCACATGAGCAGAAGAAGGCGGGGTGCACACTTACAGGTGAAACGTGTTGGCTTCGTCCAAAGTGAGCGCCGAGAGCGAGCGCATTTCCCCGAACTGCTTCTTCTCAGGTTCTTCTCCAGCTTTCTCAGTGGGCTCAGTTCTCCCTTGACTTGTGCCCATGGGATCCTGTCCTCCTCAGACACAGAAAGGCTTAAGGAAGCCTGAGGGCCTCCCAGGAGCTGACCACACGGACTTTGGGTCTTGTGGCTAGAAAACTGGCCGGGAGGCAAACGGACCACCTCTGCGTTGCTCAGGGACCGCTAACACTGCTGCCCCAGGCTGACGCCAATGCCCTCAGGGGCCCACTGGTCACAGCCCCGGGGCCTCCCTGGTCACAGCTCTGGGGCCTCCCCGTGCGGGAGCCAACACCCTTGGGGCTCGCTGATCACAGCTCAGGGGCCCCCCGGTGTGCGCTGTTCATGACAGTCTCGCCTCACCTTCAAGGGTGAGCGGTCCTCACACTGGGACACACTTACCTGCTCTGACAGGATCCAGAGGAAGTTAGGTTCATTATGATGCTTAAATCTAGAACTTTGGTGGAGTCCAAGGAAACAGGGAACCAATAAGTAGAATTTTCACTTTTTTTTTATACCTCAATCCCACCTCCCCCAAGTGAGCATCAAACTCACACCCCAGGTGGTTGATGGAAAGAGATCTTCTCTACCAGCTACCAGGCCCAAGGGAGAGACGTGTGAGAAACCGCATGGTCTCTGGGAGCCTAGAAATCTTTCCTGCCTTCGAAACATCTTCCCAACCAACAACCAAGCCCTTGACATTTGCCAGTTAACATTCACTGAAAACTCTACCTAGCACAGCACCCGGTTCATTGGAAGGATGGAGAACGGGCTTTTTCTGGTTACCATGATCTCCTCAGTACTTCTTGAAGGACGTTTACAAACATGAAACTTCTACAACAAAAACTTAATCAAGAGAGAAATACATATAATTAAGTACAAGAAAAGAATCCATGGTGTGACAATTGTTGCCCTTGAAGGAAGTGATAGAATGTTGCAGGTGTCTGTTTCCTGGTCTGGGTGTTGGCCATATGGATGTTTTCAGGTTGTAGAATTTTATCAAGCTGTACTTGTGTAATTGTACATTTCCTTTATTTTACATTGTCTTTGTTTTACAAGTCAGTAAAACGTTCCAAAAAAAAATTAAGGGCATATATCTCTGTTGACGAGTAGCATTTGGAGTTACCCTCCTCACTTACCCTTTTAGTGGAAAAACAACCAAGAGTTAAGAAATCAAGTTCTATCCCATTTCTTCAATTAACCAACTCTGTGACCCAGGACAAGTCATCAGAGGCATTAACCTTGCTGATTATTCTTGCTTTTTTTCGTCATTACCACACAAGGGATTAGAATTAGAATAATCTTAATGCCCTGTCCTTCCCAACCCCCCAATATTTCAGTCCTGTAATGATCCTTCACCCCCTCCCATATCGGGCTCTAGCCACCGCCTCGTTTCCCAAGAAACTTTCTGGGAAGGGCTGGGAATCCTTCCTGTCTCCACTTCTCTACTCTTTCTAAGCCACTTGGTTCAAGTCTTCATCCCCAAGACTCCCACTGAGTTGCTCTGCCTTCGCACAGGTGATGTCATTTTGCCAAATCAATGATCTGTCCTCTACTGTATCTGCCCAACACACCCCAGCAGTTGACAAGAGAGCTGAGCGTCTTTGGGACCTGTCACTAACTGGGCTCCGCCATGTCAGTCTCTTGGGGGCACTCATTTGTCCCCACGGTCACTTCCTTTCTGGTTCCTCCTCCTCACCCTGGCCTCTGAAGATGGAAGGTGCAGGGAGTGAGACCGTAGGGCTTTGCTCCGCTCCAGGACCACTCACTCGGCTGGTCTCCTTCTGCGCCATGGCTTTAACATCCTCTCTCTAGGCTGATGTCCCGGTCTCTCTGTCCCTAAGACAACCCCACATTCCAGCCCCAGACGTCTCACCGTTGCCCACCAGAGCCACGTGGATGTCTGAGAGCCTCACATGTCACGTGCTCAACACCAGGCTCTTGATTTTCTCCTCTGCGAGGCTCCCCAGTCTGAGTAAGCGGCCATTTGCTTCTCCCACTTATTGGATAAGCCAGACTCCCGAGTTTTCCTTGGCTCTTTCTCTGCCTCAATACATCTTGTGGCCTCTGCCCTTAAAGCACGTCCCCGGTCCCACCAGTTCACCCTCTTTCCATTCCCTGCCACCGTGACCGCCTGGGTCCCGGCCACTCTTGCTTCTTGCTCCAACAATTCGACAGCTTCCCAAGGCAATGGCCTGTGACTCTTTGTCTCACCTTGGCACCTACTGTGCCTTCCTACCAGCAGCCAGAGTGAGCCTTTTACAATTAAGTCATATGGCGTCGCTTCTATCTTGTGGGTTCTGTATGGGGGTGAAGAGTGTCCCCCCACGTTCATGAGCTTCTCTGGAACCAGGGTCATTGAGACGTGATTAGTTAGGATGAGGTCATGCTGGGGTAGGGTGGGCCCCGGTCTCCTTATCAGAAGAGGAGGAAAGACACAAAGACAGTCACAGGGAGGAGAATGTCACGAGAGGACAGACTCACGGAAGTTGGCCACGTGAGGTCGGAGGCAGAGACCTGTGTGATGCATCTACGAGCCCGGGAATAACCTGAGACGACATGAACACCAGGAGCTGGAAGAGGCAGGACGGATTTTCTACTCTGGCCTTTGGAGGAACGTGGCCCCGCCCACACCTTGATTTGGGGCTTCCAGCCTGCAGACCGTGACAGGATGAATTCCCACTGTGTTCGCCACTCAAATGTATTTTTGTGGACTTCATTACAGAAGCCACAGGAAACTCTTCAGGTTCCCATGTGGCTCACAATAGAATCCAGTCGAACCTGGTCTGGGGGCCCTACGTGATCTGCTCTGCTTTCTGGCCTCGTGCACGTCCGGCCTTCCCTCTCTGCGCACCTGTCCCAGCCCCAGGCTGCAGTGGGAGGCTGGTTCCCCTTTACCTAACCGGGCTCCAGTCTGCTGAGTGCCTCCTGATGTCCCTCATCACATCACCTCCCCCGGAAGTGGGCACTTCCACCCGAGAAAGAGCGACCTTGCCCCTCAGTTACACCAGCATCGGTCCCGACCCCGTCCTCGAGTGAGTGCATAGACACGGTCTAATTTGCTGACCTGAGAATTTCCTGGTGTGACAAGAATTGTTCAGGGCCATTTTCCTGCTTGGGACCTGTTGGGGTCACCGATGGAAGCCTCACGGATCCGGTTCAGGGGCAGGAAATACTTGCTGGGACAGCAGAAATCGAGGTTGTCTTCTCTAAAACCGCCGTGGGACAGAGGTCATGGAGGGAGGTCGGCGAGGGACAGGTGGCGGGAAAGACCTTCAAATGCTGGCACCTGGGGCTCCTCACGTATTTGGAGCGTTGAATCAGATCCGTGGCCCCTAGCGTGTTGGAAATGTTCCCAAATCTGCTTTTCTTCAAGGGCATCACCGCTCAGGATTTTGTGGATGGCCCCCAGGGCTCGCTGAGTGGGTGAGCAGATCCCAGCATGCGTGCTTGGCTGTCCAGAGATCCCCCATGGGCCTCACGGTCATAGCTTCAATTCTCCACTTGGGTCTCTGGGCACCTGCGGGGGGATAGCTGGACAGAGACTGGAAGGAGAGAATCCCTCTGTAATGGGGAATGGTCCGTACTATAGGAAACCATCCCGAGGGGAAACACAGATGCAGGTCTGTTCCACGCTTTGCCTTTGAACTCCCCGATAAAGGCTGGCCCTTCCAAAGCGGCTGGTAGGGAGGCCTTCCGTTGTTTTGTTCTGTTTCTGTAAGGAAGTTGGGGGAAAGGGCAAAGGAGCACCTCGCTGGGAGGCAGGGTTTTGTTCTACACCGAACGAGGCGCGGGGCGTCGGGAAGGTGCCTGGCCACACTTACGGAGAGGGC